TGGCATGCAAGGAGCAGCTAATATAAATAGATAAAATATATATATATATATATATATAATATTTTGCATCTTTAAATGGTAGTTAGTTACTAACTTGTTATTCTTTCTTCAAGTTTTGTCTCTCTTGTGTTCGGAGAGTGAACATATCAATACTTGATAATAATTTTGGAACCTGTACCGATTATGAAAAATAATTAGTATAGCTTAAAGCTTCAGAGAAATCAGCTTAAATTAATATTATTGCAACTTTTGACAAAGTTTTTAACATGATTATTGATTAAGAAAAATTTTTAAATTTTGAATTGTAATTTTAATGACTTGGAAGGGATTTTATTATTATTTGAATAATTAATTTTTAAAAAAATATAATTTTTTTACCACAAAAAGTGAAATGAGGTGAATTTATAATTTTTAATATTAAAAAAAGTTGAAAAAATATTTATTTTACTGATGGGTTAGCCCACCAATCCATCAACCATCAGTGGGTTGGGCAGAAACACAACCTGCCAAGATGTAAGTATGCCATCCCACAACGCATAACTCACAGCGGGCCAATGTAGATCTGGTAGACTGGTGGCCAATTGGTGAGTATTATGTAACCGTTGACTGCCATGTAGGCAGTCAGAACTCAGAATTTAGAAGGTGATTTTTGCGGGTTATTCTTATTCTCCCCATTGAGATCGGGAATTTTTTTTTTTTTAATCAAATCTAACTGGCGCATGGCGTCACCGTACGCTTTGGTCTATACATGATGATTATATATAGCGTCCATTTGCAAGCAGCCGCGTTTTCTTCAATATTTTATTCCGTCATGCATTGATTCTGAACTTCTAGAAACGCTCCTCCTTGTCGCATGCATGGAATCTTGGTCCGTTTTCGGAGACCTGTAGCCTCTAAATTAAATTAAATTAAATGGGTAATTTAAACTATTCACTCAGGAGGGTTTGCACTCTAAATTCTTATGTTGTGCAAAATTTTAACTTTTAATCAACCTGAAAATTTTCAAAAAAAATCAAAATTATAAAAGGGACACAAACTTACACATAGTGTTATGTAAGAAAATTAATATCAGTTAAATCGTTTTTGAGTTACTTTTTTTCTCTAACTTTTAGGTCTTTTACGAAATTTTTTGGATTAACTAATTATTAAAGTTAATTTTGTTAACAACAAGATACCTAATCTGCCATTTTCAATAGTTGAAGAGAGAAATCATATATTATATAAAAGTTTAAAATATCATACATTCTTAAGTAAATAATTAAAGGTTAAATTTTTTTTAAACCGATTAAATTTTATCATTGATTTATTAGTACGCTAATACTATCTTTATATAAAAAATTGCAAATCCAAATACATCCATATACTTCAGTCATATCATTCATGTGAATTCACACACAAGTCTTGTGCAGCCGCAGATGAGCGCGTTTAGAAGAACCAAAAGTTCAATGTTCTCTGGTCACCCAGGATGATGTTTTCTTCCTCCTAAAGTTTAAGTTTTTCAGGGCTGTTAGTCTTCCCAAGTCTATTTATAAGATAAAGAGAAAAAAAACTAATATTAACCTTATTTATGGATTGTTTTACTATTTTCATTGTTCATTTTCATTTTTTTAACTTTAAATGTTAAAAAATTATTAAAAATAATTATTTTTGTCTTTATTAAGATAGGAGGTAGAGATGAAAATTTATTAAATTTTAAGAAAAAATTAATAAGATTTATTTTTTTTTAATTCCTATAAAACAAGATGGAAGTGATTTATAAATAGAATCAAGGAGAGTAAGCCTTTTCTTCTAGCTAATTTCAGAAGTAACTCTGTGTAAATTTATGCTGTACTTCTCCCTTAATATTGGAAATTGGAATTAAAATAAAAAAACAATATATATTGATTTGAAAATAATGATTTTATTGTTGTACTAATTATTGTGTAAATCTGTTTATATGTTAGAACGGAAAGAGTATCTAAACTAAATGTTTGGTTTTTTTTTTTTTTTAAAGGCTAAATGAAGTTTGATGTTTGAGGATAGAATGAAAGAAAAAAAAAGTGAACATCTTTAAAACATATGTAAATTAAAGAAATTATAAAAATTTTCATTAACCTTTCTTAAAAATTAAGTTTTAATATTATAAGAATTTATAATATTTTGTAAAATTATAAGTTAGTTTTCAATAATATTTTCGAAATAATAAATTAAAATAAGAAGAATGATAGAAAAATAACTCTGACAAATAAATATCATAAAATATGATAATTATTTTCTAGATTCTAAATGATTTGTCTATCAATTGATTTCTAATATGAAAATACTATTATACCCCTCTGGACAAAAAATCGTGCCTCCTTCCTCTTCTTCCTACTCTTCTCTAAATTCATTTCATCTTGTCAAATTCTCTTCCTTTATTTGTTCTGATTTTGCCCAAATAAAACTGCGAAGGCGCAACTTTCGATTGTTCATCATCCACCTTAGTGAACATGAGGACAGTCATGAGTTTTGGGGGGGGGGGGGGGATTTGCTGAAGGCATTTAATACTCGTTCTTGATCTATTTATAAATTATTTTTAACATATTTCACCATAATTAAAAAAATTTTAAATTTCATTAAATTTATTTTAAAATTTAATAAATTTTTACCTTTATCTTTAATAAATATTCTTAAATATTATTATTGATTTTTTATTCAAAACATATAATAAGGATAAAAATATAAAAGTATTGAAAATTGACAAATGTCCTGTAAATATAATTAAAATTTTTCTTTTTTTTTATCCTATAAATAAGACCAAAAGAGTACTTCAAAACTCCAAACACAAATTAATGGTCATGACTTCCATGTTTCTCGCTAACCTTGTCTTCCTTTCATGGCCTACCCTTCCTTCTCATAACAAATATCTCATAAATTTGCTTCATATTTGTTGGTTCATCTGTGCTTGATAGTTGATACGCGACAATTCTTCGACCCAAAGTGTCGATCGATTTCCTATGCACAGGCTGATTCTGGCCTAGCTTCCTAGGCCCTCTCTTCTTCACTTCCATTCCTATCACATCACTCGCGGATAGAATGTTCAACTTATAGCTTGTCCCAATTGGCTTGATTTTGTCTCAGCTTAAAACAATCAGGAGGAAAATTTGCTGGACCAAATAGGATGGGAAAGGGATTCTAGATGGGATGAGACACAAGATTATCCTAAAGACGTCCCGTTTCATCTCAAAAAAAAAATATATATATATAATTTTTTATTTTAAAAATATACATTAAATTTATTAATTATATTAATTACAATTTCAATACATGCAATTCTTATTTAAAACTAAATTTTTTTTATATTAACAATTTTAATAACACAAAGTAAGCATTGTATGGTAATATTTTTCTTTGCAATATATTAATTATATTAATATAATTTATTTTTATATCTATTTATTTAATAATGTTTGTTTATATCATATTTTTTGTTTTATTTTTGAAACAATTACTAACTTAACATATCTCAAGTGAAGAAGAAGAAAAATGATTTGATATTGTACTTAACTTGTTTGTTATTATTTCTCTTATAGTATAAATGTCACTTGTAATTATTATTATAATGTGTTATATCTTATGTATACTTGACTTTAAATTTTACACTTGCAGTTGTGATTGATGTAATTCAATAATTAATTTTAAATTTAAATTTTAAATTTTAATTAATGAATGGTATTATTCAAGCATTTCTCCTTTTCTCACATTGTTTTGTTTTATCGAGATGGCTAAACATTTTGTTCTTGTCTCTATCTCGTTATAATTCCCAATGAAATGAGGATAATTTTTTAAGATAAATAAAATATGAGATAAAAATTCAGTTTTAATAATTTCTTGGATAGGATATGAGACAGGGCATCTCTTTCCGTCTCGATCCCGTGAACATTTTTTGTTGCAGAGGAGAGATAGCAGTTACATCTGCACCCAACTTTACATATGGACTTAGAAGCTCCACCATCATCCCATTCCTCTTCATGCTTCCAGCTTTTTCCCGCGAGTCCAAGGAGAAGGGAGAGAGCATCGAGTTCGTTTTGGAGCCATTATTAGGGCAGCAGTGGAGGCGTCATTCCCACACCCCCCCCCAGGGATATAATAGTATTTTCCGCTTTTGGGAATGGAAACTAAAAAACAAAACTACTCAAAGAAGACAAAATACATCTAGGAACGCAAACGAAAAAAAAAAGTCTATCCTCTTTTATTTTATCATCTTCTATATTTAAATTAGGACATGAATAATAATTAAAGAAGAAAAAATTAACTTTTAAAATATGGGATAGCCTAACTAAATAATCAGCATCTTGATTATCCTCGCTAAAAAGTTTTTTCAGTTTTTCATAATAAAATTAATTAACAAATAAATCCCTTAAATTAGAAATTAATTATGATATTTCGTAAAATTTATTTGTCATTTATGTATTTCAGACATATTTTTATATCATTCTCCGATTAAAATAACTCTGCAACATTTAAATATTAGACTATAAACTATGACGTGATTTTAGTTTTTAATAATATTTTGATTTGATATCTGCGTTTTCTCTAAATTTTATATTATATTTATAGATCATGGGTTTGTTTCTTTTTCTTTTTTTAGCGTTTCTTTTTCATGAAAATGCAGATATATATATTTAATTTAATTTAACATAATTTTTTTGGCAAAAAATAATTGAAATTTTCACGTAAACTTTATGTATTTTTTATATTTATTATTATTATTATTATTATTATTATTATTATTTACTTCATTTATAGAAAAGTTTATCAGCTTTATTTTTTTGTTTTTTCATTTTTGGCCTAAAAAGGTCTTTTCCAAATTGAATAGAGTCAATCTATAAATTCTTTTAGCTTTTTTTGACTAGGTCATTTTATAATTTTTGTTAGAGTGAATAATATTATAAGCTTTTTTTTTTTTTGTTGTTGGCCCACAAAACGTAATATAATTTTACGGGCTTGAACTTCGATATCATTTTCCTGAACTTCTAAACCCGCCATCGAATTTGGTGAGCGTGGTGGCTTTGTACACCCTGTCAATGGAGAGAGAGACTGTGCCATCTCTGTCTCTTTGAATCTTTATCTTTTACCTACTCTTCTTTGAAAATTCCGTGTACAGTACTTTCGATTGCGTCAAACATCCAGTTTTCTAGAGCACAGGTAAACTCCTCCTTTTCGGGTTTCAAGAAATCTCGCCTTTGTTGATTATACGTTTCTTCATTTCTTTCCCCATTGAGGATCAGACCCATCATCGATATTTGGTCAGTTTTGCGATGCTACCATTAATCGTACGCTATTAATCGCAGCTATCTTATTGAAGGATTGAGAATAAGAACTTACTCAGTTTACTTCTGTGCTAAACTGCAATTCTTTTAGTATCTGTCATAATTTGATTGAAGTTGATCCTCCTTACAATAATCCCATTTCGATTTCTCCAAGGATCGATATATTTTGCATCATCAAGAGTGAGAGTTCTGTAGTCTCATTATGGATAATTATGGGTCTTCATCGCCACATCGTTATCCAAGCTCCTATGGATACCATAGTAGTCCTCCTCCTCCTTATCCGCCTCCTGCTTCAGATCCAATGGTTCCTCCTCCATACCCCTATGCATTCAGTCATTCACAGTCCTTTAACTATTCCTATCCCCCACCTCCTCCACCATTTGACAATAGCCATTACCCTCCACCACCGGCCTATGACCATACCCCTCCGCCCTCAGATTATAGCCATACTAGTCCACCAGCTGACTTTAATTATCCCCCTCCACCACCCTATTCTGCTCCTCACCTTTATCCTTATTCATACCCCATTCCTTCAGGGATTCATAATCCCCCTCAGCCTGCCCACCATAATAGTTTTCAGTATGGATCATCTCATTATCCTCCCCAACAAACTGAGGCAGGTCCATATCCCCAAAGTCAACCTCTGGCCCATTCACGAGCAAATAGCTTCTCCGGTTCCCCCCAGCACGAGAAAATGAGCTCTGCTGGAGACATGTCATTGCAAACTAGTCATAGTTTCAAGCCTTCTCGGACTTCTGCATACCCACCATTGGATGATCTTATGGGCAAAGTTAGCTTGTCTGATAACCAGCCAACTGCTCCTGCAGCACCCCTGCTCCTTTGGGGCAGCACCTAGCACATTCAATTACAGTTCCACACCAAGAAAAGCGAGAGGAATTTTACAGTTATCTTAATAACTCCTCTGGATGGGAGTCTTCCTACTCTGGTCGGGTCGATTCATCTAAGCTTTCATCTTATTCAGGCTCATTTAATGATTCAATACATAGTCAGAGTTTGCAGATTGTTCCATCACAGAGTAAGGGGTCGTTGAAAGTGTTGCTTCTACATGGAAATTTAGATATATGGGTCCATGAAGCCAAAAATCTTCCAAATATGGACATGTTCCACAAAACTTTAGGGGATGTGTTTGGTAGATTACCGGTAAATATGAGTAACAAAATTGAGGGAACTATGAGTAAGAAGATTACAAGTGATCCTTATGTAACAATTTCAATATCAAATGCTGTAATTGCGAGGACTTTTGTGATTAGCAACAATGAGAATCCTGTTTGGACGCAGCATTTCCATGTTCCTGTTGCACATAATGCTGCTGAAGTGCACTTTGTTGTTAAAGACAGTGATGTGGTAGGTTCACAGCTCATTGGCATTGTATCAATTCCCGTGGAACAAATATACTCAGGGGGGAAAATAGAAGGGACCTATCCAGTGATGAATAATGGGAAGCCTTGTAAGCCAGGTGCTGTCTTGAGGTTATCCATTCAGTACATTCCAATTGAGAAACTGAGCATTTATCACCAAGGAGTTGGTGCTGGACCAGAGTACATTGGAGTTCCTGGAACTTATTTTCCTCTGAGGAAAGGTGGAACTGTTACTCTATATCAAGATGCCCATGTCCCAGATGGCTGCCTTCCTAATGTGATACTTGACCAAGGGATGTATTATGCACATGGAAAATGTTGGCATGACATCTTTGATGCCATACGTCAAGCCCGGCGTTTGATTTATATTACAGGGTGGTCAGTATGGCACAAAGTTCTGTTGGTAAGGGATGTTGGCAATCCATCAGGTTATGCACTGGGTGAGCTTCTAAGGTCCAAGTCACAGGAAGGAGTTAGAGTGCTTCTCCTTATTTGGGATGATCCTACGTCCAGGAGCATTTTAGGTTATAAAACAGTGAGTAATGCAATTGTCTTCATGTACACATTGTTACTGAATCTTTTATAATAAATACATCATTCAATATTTTATTGGGACTTTATTTGGCTAATTTTAATGTGTTTCTTGTTTCATTTCTACGTCTAATTTTAAATATATTTCTTGCTATATGGTGGCCTTGAATAGTCAACAACTGAGATAATCGCTGAATATCATTACATTACATTTGAATTAGGGATATTTTGTTTTGTGTATTGTAAGGTTCTCAAACTAGGATAATCTGCTTTGTATCAGTCAAGAAACTGATACCAACAGTACTAGTGAATTCGTTACTTCTCTTCTTTAGATGCTTAAAATAAAATTTGAATTGCATTGAACGTTATTGAGGTTTCCAACTATTACATTGCTTCTATCAGACCAGCAATTCCTTACAAATATAAATCAAAGATAAAAAAGATTCTCATTGCTTTTTAGACAAGAGATCATGTGAATGTAAATAGAGAAAATATCTGGCAGGTAAGTGTAATTTGCCTAATAGATAAACTTGCATGCTGTCCTAATATTCTTTCATCCTTAATATCTGAAGTTTACTTTATTGGATGTGAGATAAAATTCTTGAATCAGTTGTTAGGATTTATTTTGTATTTTGGCTACAAGGATGTTTTGCTCATTTATGCAAAAAATTTTTCTGCTTTGCTCTTAGGATGGTGTCATGGCAACTCATGATGAAGAAACTCGACGATTTTTCAAACACTCTTCTGTAAAAGTGCTGCTTTGTCCACGGATTGCAGGAAAACGACACAGCTGGGTGAAGCAAAGGGTCAGTTTTGATGTTTACTTTGCATATTGGTTACTTTATTCTGATTTACCCTATCAAATTTATTTAGAAGTCATTGGGTCATTATTTGAATCTGCATTATTGGCATTTTCAATGCTCATTGTTTTTGGCAATTGTAAATATTTAAGCATTCATACTTGATTGCAGATAGTGTGGCCCCATCTGGTTGTTTGCCTAACCTTGAGCAATGATGATTGTGAGGAAAAATTATTGCTTCCTTTTTATGTGATTATCCCTGAAAGTATTCTTAACCATAAACTGTAGGCCATCTTTGGCTTTGCCTTGATGTAAAAATGAAGAGAGAGAGATAGAGATGATTCTCTAGCTTTTTGATGTATCGAAGAATAAGTGAATTCCTAGCAAATATGGTGAAAAGAGAAAATTAGTCTAAATTGAATAAATGTCCTATTTTAATAGGCTTCGAACCATAATTTCATCCACAAGCTCACACTATTCTTAGCATTTTCCAAAATGGTCTTTTTACATTTTTATACAACAACAATAACAAAGACAACAAGCGTTATCCCACTAAGTGGGGTCAGCTGCATGGATTGTAGGATGCCATTATGCTCTATTATTAACCAAGCTTTTAGGAATATTGTTAGCTAAGAGATCTTGTTAACAACTTTCACAAGTGTTCTTTTTGGTCTTCCTCTACATCCTATTTATAAAGCTCAAGAGTAATCGTTCCACTTTCACCATTGGTGTTTCTAGCGGTCTTCTTTGTACTTGTTTAAACCATGTCAAACGATTTTCTACTATTTTTCCCTCAATAAATGCCACGCCCACTTTTTTTCCTACATACACATTTCAGATTTTATTTTTACGTGTATGCTCACACATTCATTTCAACATTTTCATCTTCACTACTCTAACTTTATGCTCTTGTTGTCTTTTTTAAAGCTCAACATTGACTACCATATAACATAGCTGTTCTTATAGCAGTTTAATAGAACTTTTCTTTAAGTTCGATAAAAATTACTATTATAGATATTATTATTGCTGTTCATTTTTCATGATTCTTGTTAGCTGATCCTAAAAATTGTTATATGTAGCTATTGGATATCCAAACAACTTAATGGCTGGAGATGACCCAAACGAAAAGCTAAACTGTTAGCATGATTTGATGACTTATTTAACTTAAAATCCTGTCACACTTTTGTGTGAATTGGCTTAGAATTGAAATCAATTTTTTGTTGTTGCCCTTTTCATAATTGGTGCTTGATCTTGTGAAATCCCTGATGTATAATGCTTTGCTAACCTTCTTGTCTGCAAATCACAATGTATTTTCTGTTAATGAGAAATGTTGGCATTTTGAATTAACTTAGACTATGATTGCACATGAAAGTATGATTTTGGATGGTTGAAGTAGAGTGTCGAATAATTAGGAAAAAGAGAATTCATAGAAATTATATCCATTTAGGAATTATTAAAAGGATATTTTAGCAAAAGGTTAAACAGGATTGCTTGGTTAGATACTGTAAACTGGTTTTCAAGACAGATAATTGTTGTGGGAGAATTCTTCTTGCAATGAAGAAGAGAATGACAAAATGGATTTCAATCTGTAGAGGTAGATGAGAAATATAATTCGTGTTGTGAATGTCAGTTTGTTTGTTTTTTTTTTTATGAGGATTCTTGTCGTCAAACTTAAACCTTATAAAAAGTGTGGTCCTATTATTTTCTTTGCTGTTTACCTATTTTTACTTTGGGAATCAAAGGTAATTGACTGTTTGTATTTTTATAGAACGTGTTCTCCAGTGAAAATTCAATTTCATATTTTTCAGAATTATGGCAAGGTCCTATTTTGGTGGTTGTTTTGTCATCTCATGTTATTGTTATTGTTATAACATTCTTCTTCAATTGTGTTTTCATGGTTTTATATTGAACTTTGACCATCAGGAAACCAGTACTATATATACGCATCACCAGAAAACTGTAATTGTCGATGCTGATGCTGGAAATAATAGTAGAAAAATTGTAGCATTTGTTGGTGGACTTGATTTGTGTGATGGGCGATACGATACTCCCCACCATCCTCTCTTTAGAACACTCCAGACACTGCACAAGGATGACTATCATAACCCTACCTTCACGGTAAGTCTCTTATTTTCTCATTACCAATGGTGGCAAGGTCAAGTAAAGACCAACTAAAATTTTAAGTTAAGAGTACAAAGCAAATGAACAGAAGCATTATATTTGTTGTTGCACACAATATTCCAACAACAGTGGAATCTGTAGCTTAATCCAATAAGATATGGTTCTAGAATAGTGATATTTGAATTGAGCAACCAAATTTATTCCTCTTACTAGGGTCGTTATGCGACAGGGTAATGTTGGAGGTTGTCCAAGGGAGCCATGGCATGACTTGCATTCTAGAATTGATGGTCCAGCAGCATATGATGTTCTGACCAACTTTGAGGAGCGCTGGTTAAAAGCTTCAAAACCTCATGGGATACAAAAGTTGAAAGGTTCATATGATGATGCTTTGCTTAGGCTGGAAAGAATCCCAGACATTATTGGGATGTCTGATGCTCGTAATTCTAATGAAAATGACCCTGAAGGTTGGCATGTTCAGGTAGTTTGTCTTTTATCAATGCCAAATGGATATTTAGTTTTTCCTTGAATTCAAGACATTCATTCCATTTTTTTTTTTGCTTCCGTTGGAATGCTAGATATTTCGATCAATTGATTCAAATTCAGTAAAGGGTTTTCCAAAGGATCCAAAAGATGCGACAAGCAAGGTGAGTTAAGGCTCTGTTTCTAAATACTTGGAATTATCAATCAATCCACCAGATTTGAAGTACCTTCTGGGTGACCTTCTAAAGGTTGAACTTAACTTTGTTCTCACAGAACTTAGTTTGTGGGAAGAATGTGCTGATTGACATGAGCATACATACAGCATATGTGAAGGCCATCCGTGCTGCACAGCATTACATATATATAGAGAATCAATATTTCATTGGGTCTTCTTACAATTGGAGTCAACATAAAGACCTTGGTATGTAGCTTTTGCAAGTATTGCTATTACTCTACAAATTTCATCTGATCATGGAATAAAATGCTGCATTTTTTTGGAAAATACAAATAAACATTATATATAAGCTTCTGGTATTTACAGATCCAGAATCCAATCTAAATTCTGCCTAATTGAATTGAATGACCTACTGCTGCAAATAAAAATCATAACAAGATGCTTTACCTTACAAATGCATGTTACCGCATAATGATGCACTTTACACACTAGCAGCTTGGAGAGCTGCATTTAGACTTCAAAAGGTGTTTTTCTTAAATGAAAAAACAGTTCCCGTTCATTGCAAGCCTGCATGCAGTGTATCTCTTGTAAGAACCTTTAAGTAAAAGACACAGAAGGATGAGGGAGAATGGAAGAGGAAAATCAATAATGTAATTAAGTTATTTATGTTTAATAATTATCTTTATTTATAAAAGTATTTTAATTAGGATATTTAAAGTATCTTTTAAATAAGTTTAGTTTGGATTAGGAATTATAGGATTTATTCTATTATCTTATCTAAGATTATTTTATCTCATATGAGATTAGTTTAGATTATCATTTTAAATAGTCGCACCTTGTGCTCTAAAGTATAAATAGCCATAGGGGTTCTTCAACCATTAGGACTTGAATCCTGAATGGAATGAGGATTTCAAGTTGGTGTTTAAAATTGGAGTTAAAGGCCATGGAGATTTATGATTGGGAGTGGGTTGGGAAGTTTGACATGGTCTCCTCCATCGCCATATCATTCATTGGAAAGGATATTCTGATTTAGATGTTGCTTGGAGGAGTTCCCTACTTACATCTTGGCTTCTTGGTGTTATATCATGAGTTTTATTCCCCAAGGGCTTCTTTCAAGCGGGGGCATGGAACATCAGGCTCCCCATCTTGGCCCTGCTTGAAGGAACTCTTCCCAAAATTTCAAGTTTTTCTTAGTTTTGTATAGTACAATGTTTTTGGTTGCCTATATATGGCACAAGCTTTCCATAAATTTTTGGGGGCCAGAAATGTGTCACACCTATGTTGTACTAAGAATAACTTGAAAACTTGGGAAATGGAAGAGAAGACTCTAGAATTTAATTTATGTTTGATAATTTTATTTGGTTTTTAAAGTAGGATTTTAATTAGGATTTTTAATTTATCTTTAAAACAAGTTTAGTTTGGATGAAGATTAATAAGATTTATCCTATTATCCTATCTTATCTATGATTAATTTATATTATTATTGTTTTAAATAATTGTACCTCTATAAAATGCTTGAGGATTTCGTCAAGTGTTAGACTCATTTTCCTAGTAGAATAACTGTGTTATCATTTGCCATCTGCTTCTCCCACAATTTCTTTCTACATCTCCCTCATTTTTTGCTATTCCTCCCATTAAGGGGGGGTGTTTTGTTCCCTAGAAGCAATGATTTTGAGATTAGACTAGTCATGGCATTGCTCGAAATACCACATTAAGGGTTCATTTGATTCAACCCCATTGCAGAGCTACAATGGCAATCAATGATAGTACAGATCCCATTACCTTAGAAGCATGTTTTGGTTGACATTTGGCATTAGCAAAGGTAATCATCATTACCCAAAAAAATGGTAATGATGATTCATATGGACATCCTTAAGAATCCTCATTACTGCCCATTTGCATTATCTTATATCAAAAATACCCCCTATCTACTTTGGCGGTTTTCCTCCTCCTCCCATTAGGTTCTCCTTTTTCCTTCATTGAAATCTACCCTGCAGGTAACACCACTACGATCGGCAACATCTCTTCCTCTACCTCCACCTCTATCCCCACCTTCTCCCACCTCAACACCATCAAACCCCTCAATCCAGATGAGACACTCTTGCTCTAGTATTGAAATGTCATTCCCTTCTGTAAACGATCTTTGAGGAGCAACCACTGCCATTGACCTAATAATTTGAGATGTGAAATCGTCATGCAGTTCTTATTTATTGCAGGTGCTAATAATTTGATTCCAATGGAAATTGCCCTAAAGATTGCTGAAAAGATCAAGGCCAATGAACGATTTGCTGTGTATATTGTTATTCCAATGTGGCCTGAGGGTGTTCCCACTGGTGCTGCCACACAAAGGATTCTGTTTTGGCAGGTATGCTTCCATTCATAATATGAACGCCACAAATTGTACTTGGTTGGGATTTGATTGATTATGACATTATAAACAGTTCGAAGGATGAAATACTTCCACTTGTTTCTTGTTTTTGCTTTATAATATGATGGAACCCAGAACAGGAAACTAGAAAATGCATGGAATATGCTTCCTATCTCACTGCATAGTAGTGAGAAATGTGAGAAATATATTCTATAACTGAGAAATGCAAGCAAAAAGGGCAATTTTGCCCGGGAAACAGAGTAGCATTTACAAAATAAAGAATAAGCAAGAAAAAAAAAAATCTAGCTACTTGAAAGACACTGGGAAGCTCCCTATCATATTACCAGAATTCCTCCCTCACTTTCTTCCTCCTTATAGTTCTCTTGTAACTGTAACAAAGAAGCAAAGCATGCCCACTGCGCTGTTCATCCAAAAAATCCAAGATAATCACCGTGGCAGTCACCCCCTCTAGGCCTTCTAGGATGAACCGTCTTAATTGGAGGCCAATCTTTAATTCATGGTATAAACTCTATTTTCATGATTGCCATTTGAACTGATTTTGCCCCTTTTTAAGACAGCTATGATGAAACTTCTTGATGTATATGCTCCGTTCTAGCTGTCCATCTTACAATGTTTGACTTTTATGATGCATGACAGTCTAAGGTGCAAAAGAGGGGATAAAAGGCAGAGAGAGAGAGAGAGAGAGAGAGAGATCTAAAAATCTTATTTATTTATTTTTTTTAAAGTTTAGAGGGGCCTTTAACTATCTATTTCAAATATTACCAACACCATGGTTTTTGCCAGCAAAGGGCTTGCTAGATCTCCTCTTGCAGTTTACTGCTCTGCCATAATTTCTCTTCTCTCATTATAATGGTCAGCTGGTGTTTTTTCTACATGCATGCATGACTACTACTAAGTCTGTACGAAATTATTGATTGCTCCCACAAATGTATGAAATTGTAGTAATAAATTACTCGGAGTATTTTAGGTATTGAATCCACAGGAAGGCTAAGTTTGCCTAACCGGATTAAATTTAGCTTTGACATAATATGATAATTGAATAATAATTTATAAAAATAAATAATAAATAAAGGTTGATCCAATTAATAGAGCATTAGTAATCAAATTTCACCAATTGGGTTTGTTAAAATTCACTCTTTGCAATGATAGTTACTGCTGTTTCTAAATTGTCCTAAGTTCCTATTCAATTAGTATCGAATTCACTTCTGCCAAACCCAAAGTCCTAACCAAACCATGAAGCTACAACACAAGTCACTACAAATTTCTAAATCTATTTTTGGTCCAGTTATTCATGCTCACCTCTCTAGATCTAGGCTCATTCTTCACCTTCCAATCCTTTGAGTTTACTTATTAATTAAATATTATGTTGATTAGGCGCAAAATCCACATGAAGCACAAGTGAGATAAGTATAGTTTACAACAACAACAACAACAAGCCTTTATCCCACTAGGTGGGGTCGGCTACATGGATTGCAAGACGCCATTGTGCTCTATCATTTATCAAGCTTTTAGGAATATTATTAATTAAGAGATCGCGTTCAATAACTTCCAAGAGTGTTCTCTTAGGCCTTCCTCTACCTCTCTTAATCGGACTCAAAGTTATATGTTCCATTCTTCTCACTGGTGCCTCCCTTGGTCTTCTTTGTACATGCCCAAACCATCTCAACCGATTTTCTACCATTTTTTCCTCAATAGGTGCCACCCTCACTTTTTCGCGCACGTGCTCATTTCGAATTTTATCTTTACGTGTATGTCCGCACATCCATTGTAACATTCTCATCTCTGCTACTCCAACTTTATGCTCTTGCTGTTCCGTCAGAGCCCAACATTCACTACTATATAACATTGTCGGTCTGATAGCAGTGCGATAAAACTTTCCTTTAAGTTTATTAGGCACTTTACGGTCGCAAATAACTCCTTTAGCTTTTCTCCAATTAAACCATCCAGCTTGAATTCTATGTGAAATATCTCCATTAATTTCGCCATCATTTTGAATAATGGCTCTCAAATATCTAAACTTTTCCACTTGAGGTATAATTTGGTCTCCCAATTTCACTTTCAAATTATTGTCGAATAGTCCTTTACCAAATTTACAATATAAATATTCCGTCTTACTTCTACTCAGATGAAAACCTTTTGACTCCAATGTCCTCCTCCATAACTCAAGTTTGCAATTAACCTCTTCTCTTATCTCTGCTATAAGAACTATATCATCCGCGAAGAGTATACTTTCGGAATTTCCCCTTGAATATGTTTCGTCAAAACATTTAAGATTAAGTTGAACAAATAAGGACTCAGAGATGATCCCTGATGTAGTCCAATCTTTATAGAAAAATCTTTTGTTTGACCACTAGGCGTTCTTATACTAGTTTTTACCCCCTCATACATATCTTGTATGGCTTTAATATAAGCAATCCGTACTCCTTTTTTTTCTAACGCTTTCCAAAGCACTTCTCTTGGTATACGGTCATAAGCTTTTTCCAAATCAATAAAAACCATGTGTAGATCTTTATCTTTACAACGATACTTTTCCATTAATCCCCTTAGTAGATAAATCGCCTCTGTAGTTGATCTATTTGGCATAAAACCAAACTGATTCTCAGAAATACTTGTCTCCGATCTCAACCTGTGCTCAATTACTTTCTCCCACAATTTCATTGTGTGGCTCATGAGTTTAATCCCTCTATAGTTAGTACAATTTTGAATATCTCCTTTATTTTTATAAATAGGAATTAATGTACTTCTCCTCCACTCATCAGGCATTTTCTTGGACCGTAAAATCACATTAAATAACTTAGTTAACCATCTCACCCCTTCTTCACCTAAGCATTTCCACGCTTCGATAGATATACAATCAGGTCCGTTGGCTCTACCATTTGCTATTTTCTTAAGAGCTTTCTTTACCTCCTTATCACGTATTATTCGATAGAATGACAAATTTTGTTTTCCTTCACCAGTTATTAAATCCTCCAAGTTACTAGATGAACCCTCTCCATCATTGAAAAGTTTAGAAAAGTAAGTCTGCCATCCATTTTTAATTTCATCATCTGTAACTAAAGTTCTTCCTTCTTCATCCTTAATACACCTTACCTTACTTGTTCTAGATCTCTTGATTTTCTTTCCCTACTTTTGGCAATCTTATAAATATTTCGCTCTCATTCCTTCGTCGCAAGGCTCTTATAAAATTCTTCAAAAGTTTTAGAACGAGCTTCACTCACAGCTCTCTTAGTTTCCTTCTTAGCCATACGGTACCTCTCCCAATTTTCCTCATTGTTACACAAATGTATGGCTTTAAAACAATTCTTCTTATACTTGATTTTGTCCTGTACACTATTATTCCACCACCAAGACTCCTTATCTCTCGGACCAGAACCTTTTGATTCTCCCAAAACTACTTTTGCAACCTCCCGTATCTTTTTAGCCATATCCTCCCACATGATGTTAGCACTTCCCTGAGATTCCCATATTCCTTTATCCAAAAGATTTCGCTTGAAAATATCTTGCTTCTCACCTTTTAATTGCCACCACCTAATCCTTGGTGCTACTATTTGTCGACGTTTTTGGATTTTACTCAAAATACACACATCAAGGACTAGGACCCTATGTTGTGTCGTTACAGCATCTCTGGGGATCACCTTGCAATTTTTACAAAGTCTTCTATTTGTGTTCCTAACTAAAAGAAAATCAATCTGTGACCTTGAGGCTCCACCTTTGTAAGTGATGAGATGCTCATCTCTCTTCTTGAAACAAGTGTTGGCAATCTTAAAATCATACGCCAATGAGAAATCAAGAAGAGTTTGTCGTTCATTGTTTAGCTCTCCAAAACCAAAACCACCATGCACCCTCGCGTACTGACCAGCTTTCCTCCCGACATGCGCATTAAACTCTCCTGCAATAAAAATCTTTTCACTCTGTGGTATGCGTCGAATCAGCCCTTCCAGATCCTCCCAAAATAATTCCTTAAGATTGGCTTCTGTCCCGACTTGCGGCGCATAAGCGTTAACAATATTAACAGTCTCACGTCTAATTATCATTTTTAAGGAAATAATTCTGTCTCCAATTCTGCTAACTTCTACAACGTTCTTCTTCCACTCCTTATCTATAATGATGCCTACTCCATTACGTGCGCTTACTTTTCCTATATACCAAAGTTTGAAACCTTGAATATCCTTAGCTTCTTCTCCATGCCATTTTGTTTCTTGCAGGCAAAGATATTGATTTTCCTTTGAATCATAACCCCTACAACCTCTACAGATTTACAATTCAATGTCCCAACATTCCAAGTACCAAATCTAATTTTGCTCTCATGGACTAACTTCTTTAACCGCGTACATCCAGAATGATGCGGTAGCCCTTGCTCATTTAACACTACATCTGGGCGCCGATGCAGCGGCTCTAACTCACTTATCACTGTACTCGAGCCATGCAGCGCGTTACTTACGGGCAACGACCTAACATTAACATTATAACGTCTATTGTTCATGTTCATGATAGATTTAACAAAGTTTTACATTGGCTGTTGATGGCCTAACACAACCCTCCTTCTTTACCCGGGCTTGAGACCGGCTATAAACATAGGCGGAGTTGAGATAAGTATAATTTAAAAGAAATAAATTTAAATAAATAATCATAAAGTTCAAATCTAAAACAAAGAGTACTCAAGATTTATAGAGCCAATCCTAGATGGGATGCAACACATAAGAATATAAATAAAACACAAGTAAAATTCCAAATGTTGAAGAAAAAAGATAAAAGATAAAAGTTCTTAGTAAAAAAGAACGAATCTTGTTCCTCTGCTTTGGCTTGCTCTGAGAAGACTCCAAAAGCTTCCAAAAGTGGGTCTTGGCTGCCAATGGATGAAGATTGGACCCCTAGAATGATCTTAGGAACTCTTATTTATAATACTTTGCAATTAGTATTTCTTAATCTTTCTAAAATATCAAATATTATTTTTCCATTTTTTTTCTTCTCATTGGATTTTATCAAGATTTGAAATTTCAATTTTTTTTCCCTTCCTTCTCTCTCCCTCAACATAGCTTTGCTCCCGCCTCTTATTCTTTTGTATTTTCTTTTCTTTTTTTCCTTTCAGTTTCCTCTCTAGCTCCTCATGTCTTTGCCTTTTTTTCCTCCCTTCCTTTTCTTTTCGGGTTTTCTTCTTTCCTTTAATTTGATATATTATTTTCCTTAAAAATATAATGAAAGAGATATATGAGTAGATTTTATGGAAAGAATCCTTCTTATCTTATAATTAAGTACAGAGAGGAAAATATCTAAAAATTAATTAAATAAGTATAAAATGTTAATAAATTTTATCAAATATAAACCAAAATCTATAGCTATTTATCTATAAAATATGCACTTGTCAATTATCACCTTAGTGATTTTTCGTTGTTTATGAAACTTGGCACCTTGATTTTTTACACTACACTTTTGCTGCTATAAGAATTTAGCTGTTCTAGCCTTTGAAAATTTGTGCTTATTTGCAATCCTGGCTTGAGAAACGTCCTTGTGACCCGTGAAATTCAAAGTACATAGAGGAACTGCTTTCTCTGTTACTTATTGAGATAGTGTTATAGAATCTGTTAGTTTTGGTTATTGGTTTATTGCATCTGTTAATCTGGAGTCGTTATTTGATTGTTGCAGCATAAAACAATGCAAATGATGTACGAGACAATTTACACGGCTTTAGTTGAGGCTGGGCTTGAGGAGGCATTCTCACCAGAAGACTACTTGAACTTTTTCTGTCTTGGCAACCGGGAGGTCAATGATACATATGGTAACAATGCAACGCCTGGAAATCCTCCTCCTGCAAATAGTCCACAGGTATGAATATTTTGGCAGTTTTGCCCAGCATCCACCCTTCCACGTTCCCAGTACATCTGTAGTGCATTTTTAAGATAAAACTTCATTTGGAGTTAACATAAAATTGTAGACATCTATCCATGTGCCATCTGCTTTTTATTTCTTGACTGATATGACCTCTGAGCATGACCAAAGTTATGGCACTTCATCAAGTTCTCATATGGCATATTGTTGTACTGTGTGTAGCAAATGCACTGCTGAATTCGTTCTCTATTGGTGTCAATTCCAGGCACTAAGTCAAAGTAGCCGACGTTTCATGATTTATGTTCATTCGAAAGGCATGATAGTTGATGATGAGTATGTGATATTGGGATCTGCAAACATCAACCAGCGCTCTATGGAAGGAACAAGGGACAGTGAGATTGCAATGGGAGCTTACCAACCTCATTATACTTGGGCAAGAAGACATTCTTATCCACGTGGACAGGTATATTTTATGGGCAGTTAATTATTTTCATAACAAGCCATTTTTCATGTAGCCAAATTCAATCTTCACCATAGGCAATCTAGCAAAAAAGTTGATCATCAGTACACATCTAATAGTCATAGGGAAATTCCCGAAGGTGTTGCTTAATAGAGAAATATGAAGTAGGAGCATGACGCAATAAAACCATTTTTTCCAAAGCAGGATGGCTCACTGCCATTAGAAGTAAATTAGGACTGTGTGTGTACTACTATGGTTATATTCTGAACTATACAACAACAACAACAACAATAACAACAAATTTTTATCCCATTAGGTGGAGTCGGTTATATGGATTGCAAGATGTCATTGTGCTCTATCATTTATCAAGCTTTTAGAAATATTATTGATTAAGAATTGCGTTCAACAACTTCCAAAAGTGTTCTCTTAGACCTTCTTCTACTCCTCTTAACAGGGCTCAAAGTTATATGTTCCACTCTTCTCACTAGTGTCTCTTGTGGTCTTCTTTGTACATGCTCAAACCATCTCAAACTATTTTTTATTATTTTTTTCTCAATAGGTGCTACCCTCACTTTTCTGCGTATGTGTTCATTTTGAATTTTATCTTTACGTGTATGTCTGCACATCCATCATAACATTCTCATCTTTGCTACTTTAATTTTATGCTCTTGTTGTCCCGTTAGAGCCAAGCATTCACTACTATATAAGATAGTCAGTCCGATAGCAGTACGATAAAACTTTTTTTTAAGTTTATTAGGCATCTTATGTTCACAAATCATTTTTTTAGTTTTTCTCTAATTAAACCACCTAGTTTGAATTTTATGTGAAATATCCCCATTGATTTCGCCATCATTTTAAATAATGGCTCTCAAATATCTAAACTTTTCTACTTAAGGTATAATTTGATCTCCCAATTTCACTTCCAAATTACTGTCGACTAGTCTCTTACCAAATTTACGATATAAATATTCAGTTTTACTCCTATTCAGATGAAAATCTTTCGACTCCAATGTCCTCCTCCATAACTCAAGTTTACAATTAATCTCTTCTTTTGTCTCTACTATAAGAACTATATTATTCGCAAAGAGCATACATTTGATAATTCTTCCTTGAATATGTTCCGTCAAAAAATTTAGGACCAAGTTAAACAGATAAGGATTTAAAGATGATCTCTGATGTAGTCCAATTTTTATAGGAAAGTCTTTTGTTTGATTATTAGACGTTCTTACACTATTTTTTACCCCTCCATACATATCTTGTATAACTATAATATAAGCAATCTGTACTCCCTTCTTTTTTAAGGCTTTTCAAAGCACTTCTCTTGGTATATGGTCATAAATTTTTTTCAAATCAATAAAAACCATATGTAAATCTTTATTTTTACAAATCTTTATTTTTACAACGATACTTTTCTATTAATTCCCTTAATAGATAAATCGCCTCTGTAGTTGATCTACTTGGCATAAAACCAAATTGATTCTCAAAAATACTTGTCTCCAATCTCAACTATGCTCAATTACTTTCTTCCACAATTTCATTATGTGGCTCATGAGTTTAATCCTTCTATAGTTAATACAATTCTAAATATTCTCTTTATTTTTATAAATAGGAATTAATGTACTTCTCCTTTACTCGTCAGGCATTTTCTTGGACCATGAAATCACATTAAATAACTTAGTTAACCCTCTCACCCCTTTTTCACCTAAACATTTCTACACTTCAATAGATATACAATCATATCTATTGACTCTACCATTTGCCATTTTTTTAAGAATTTTTTTTACCTCCTTATCACGTATTATTCGATAGAATGAAAAATTTTGTTCTTCTTCACGAGTTATAAATCTTCCAAGTTATTAGATGAACCCTCTCCATCATTAAAGAGTTTGAAAAGGTAAGCCTCCTATTTATTTTTAATTTTATCATCTGTAACTAAAATTCTTTCCTCTTCATCTTTTATACACCTTACCTATTTTAGATCTCTTGATTTTCTTTCCCTACTCTTAGCAATTTTATAGATGTTTTGTTCTCCTTCCTTTGTCTCAAAACTCTTATAAAATTCTTTAAAAGCTTTAGAATGAGCTTTACTCACAGTTCTCTTAGTTTCCTTCTTAGTCATACAGTACTTTTCCCAATTTTCCTCGCTGTTATACAAATGTATGGTTTTAAAATAGTTCTTTTTATATTTGATTTTGTTTTGTACACTATTATTCCACCGTCAAGACTTCTTATTTCTCAGATTAAAACCTTTTTATTCTCCCAAAACTACTTTTACAACCTCCCTTATTTTTTTAGCCATATCCTTTCACAAGATGTTAGCACTTCCTTGAGATTCTCAAATTTCTTTGTCCAAAAAATTTTGTTTGAAAATACCTTGCTTCTCATTTTTTAATTGCCACCACCTAATCCTTGGTGCTATTACTTGTTGACGTTTTTGAATAATTTTACTCATAATACACATTAAGGACAAGGACCCTATGTTGTGTAGTTATCGCATCCTCGGGAATTACCTTGCAATTTTTACAGAGTCTTCTATCCGTGTTTCTAACCAAAAGAAAATTAATCTGTGACTTTGAGGCTCCACTTTTGTAAGTGATGAGATGCTCATCTCTTTTCTTAAAACAAGTGTTGGTAATTTTAAAATCATATGCCAACGAGAACTCAAGAAGGGTTTGTTCTTCATTGTTTAGTTCTCCAAAACCAAAACCACCATGCACCCTCGCATACTGACTAGCCTCCCTCCCGACATACCTATTAAAGTCTTCTCCAATAAAAATCTTTTCACTTTGTGATATGTGTTGAATCAATCCTTCCAAGTCCTCCTAAAATAATTCTTTAAGACTGGCTTCTGTCTTGACTTGAGACGCATAAGCGCTAGTAATGTTAACAGTCTCACGTCCAACTATTATTTTTAAGGAAATAATTCTATCTCTAATTCTGCTAACTTTTACAATGTTCTTCTCTTCCACTCCTTATCAATAATGATGCCTACTCCATTGTGTGTGCTTACTTTTCATGTATACCAAAGTTTGAAACCTTGAATATTCTTAGCTTTTCCATGCCATTTTGTTTCTTGCAGGCATAGGATATTGATTTTCCTTTGAATCATGACCCCTACAACTTATACAGATTTACAATTCAATGTCCCAACATTTCAAATACCAAATCTAATCTTGCTCTCATAGGCTAACTTCTTTAGCCACGTAGGTCTAGAGTGACGTGGTAGTTATTGCTCATTTAACACTACATTCGGGCTCCGATGCAGCGGCTCTAACTCACTTATCGTTGTACTTGATTCATGCAACGTGTTACTTACGGGCAACGACCTAACGTTAATATTATAATGTCTATTGTCCATGTTCATGATAGATTCAACAAAGTTTTATGTTGGCTGTTGATGGCCTAACATAACCCTCCCCCTTTATCTGAGTTTGAGACTGATTATAAACATAAGCAGATTTTATTCTGAACTATTTTTAGACATTTTTATATCTGCTTGATGTCTCTGGGAAAATCCATCATGATAATGAAGCCACAAAGCCGAAGGCTTGGGGTTGTCTACTGATTCCTCAAAGCCCCAAGAGTATAAATATAACTTTGTCTAGAGATATCATGCGATAAAATATCTACGGACCTATAAAACCAATTCCCCCCCCCCTCTTTATTCTCACTCTAGATGCCTCTAGATCTGTATTTCTATTATGGAACTTACACATAAGAATGCAGTAAGATGGTATTTGGTATATAAATATCCTATTTTCCCTGACACTTGAAAATCTGTATGCTAACTTTAATTTGTTATGCTCAGTCATCTTGTAGATAGCTTTTCAACTTTTGGAGATCAGCTTCATTGTTTATTTATGTTTTTTTTTTTTCCCTTCATAACACTTCAATGCATTATGATTTTTGTAACAATTGCTTAGACCTGATTGTCATTCTTCATGAAACCGCTATGTAGATCCATGGATATAGGATGTCGCTCTGGGCAGAACACACAGGAACAATTGAAAACTGCTTCTTGCAACCAGAGAGCCTTGAATGCGTCAGAAGAGTAAGAGTGATGGGTGAAATGAACTGGAAACGATTTGCGGCACCCGAAGTAACAGATATGAAAGGGCACCTATTGAAATACCCAGTTGAAGTTGATCGAAAGGGAAAGGTCAGATCTCTCCCTGGCCATGAAAACTTCCCTGATGTTGGAGGCAAAGTAACAGGGTCATTTCTTGCCATTCAGGAGAATCTTACCATTTAATGAATTTGATAGACATTCATTTCTTCCTCCCAGCGATTAGAATATGATGAATGTAAATTACAAAATAGAATGTTTTATAGTTTTTGGGAAGTAATTTACACCATAGAAGAGTTGACAATTTTTAAGTGCCTCATGCTTGTTGAAGACACAGATACAGATGGGGTGTACAGTTTTGCAACTTGCACGTTTGGTTATTGTTCATGTGAATATTGTTATAACTGGAGCAAGTATTGTGATTTGCTGATACTGTAATTATTACTCTTTAAACATTATAAAATGTTGGCCAATAAAGTTATGACTTCTTGTCTTAATTAACTTTTTAGTGACATATTGTAATTGATTGTAATTGATCTTATTAGTGCCTGTTTGGTTAAGCAAAATAATCGATTATTTCACCAAAAAAATTGATCAACCAAAAACATATTCAAATGCATCAAAATCATGTAATTAATTTTATTAGTTAAAATCAATTTTTGTCGAAAGCTAGCAATTGGAGCATCTATGGATAATCCATCAAAAAGCATTGGGGAAAATTACAAAAAAAAACTTAAGAAAAAATTATAAAAAAAGTCCAAAATTTAGCAAATATAAAATCAATAATATATTTTACTTCTTAAATAAAATGTAACAACTTTAATAATATTAGATATAAATTAATCAATAATTTAATTTTTAAGTGCAACGTCCTTTATGATAATATATACAACTAAAATTGATTCTAAATAAATCATTCAAATATTTTCAATTCTGTTAAAATTAATTTTAAAAAAACGGTATCCAAACAGATTGCGTTATAACATAATCAATTATGATTAAAATATACTATTTAATTAATTATTTTCATAATCTATTATATCTAACTGAAATTTAAACGAGTACTTAGTTGATCAACTGTCTTAATTCGGTTTGATGTCAAAATGTACAAAAGCAAGTGACCAAATCACACTAGTGATATGGATTAAATCAAATTGAATTGGTGGATTTCACTGTGGAATTTTGATGGTTTAGTTAATTAATTTGATTATTAGGCTTTGCAATGACTACTTGGAAGTTGGATCTGTTGTAATTGTATCAATGCTTTTGTAAAAGATTAATCATTTGATCCTTGTAGTTTTGATCTAGTTCTAACTCAATTTATCAACTTTAACTCGTAATAATTTAGTCTCTAAAATTTTAACTCATTTATAAATCAGTGTTTGAACTTTACCTCTTGCAATTTATTCCTTGAAGTTTCAATCTCTTAAATAATGGCTCCTATATTTAAAAAAAATTATAAAAATCCAAAAATATTTTAAACTTTTGATATTTATAAAGATTAAAAGGGTTTAATAATTTAAAATATTAGCAATAAATTTTAAAATATTTTATATCTTTATAACTTTTTTTTAAAATATAGGGACCAATATTAAGAAGTTAAAATTTCAGGGACTAAATTGCAAGAGACAAAGTTTAGGAATTGATTCACAACTAAATTAAAGTTTAGGGATTGAGTTACAATTAAGTCAAAACTACAATGATCAAATAATTAATTTTTTCATACTTTTGTCTACCATACTTTTTTTTTAAAAAAAAAAAAATGACAAAGACTTTACAAATGAGTATGATAGATATTTTCCAGACGCACAATGTATATGTGTGTGTGTTAAAAGACATTATAATTTGTTACATGTTCACACAGCCACCTATCTAAAATTGTGCAAAAAACAAAAGGGGGGGGGGGGGAGTCAAAATCATTACAAACCACCAACAACCAACAAATAGAAGAGGAAGCAAAGTATGAGATATTTATTTTTTTAAAAAGCATAAAATGGAAAAATAAAGTAAATTATATGTATAAACTAATAAATTGTCACATCCTAGTATTAAGACTATGACTGACACTGACTCATATTCCGTAAGCTTTAATTATTCAAATATTAAGATGTAGTAACAATAGATAATTTATATTGATCAATAAGACTATATAATATATATTTATATATAATTATAAAGTTGATAAAGTCTTAAATATTATGTAAAAATTTTGACAAAAATTTTTCTATAATTTAGATTTCTTAAAATTTTTACAATTGTAAAGCTTATCAGCCAATCTAGCAAAAAAGACTAGCTCCATAGCAACAGATTTTATACCAGCAATATAAAACTAGGACCTAACTATGATATAGAGTACTAACTATCATTGTATAATATAATGAATATTTACATCAAAATAAATGATTAAAGTGTACTTCCACTGTCCAAAGAACAATAGAGCCTTTAATGAATAATAGGAGGTGCATGGTCAACTATAATATTTGAGACCAAAATAAATTTTCGGTGAATAGACCCCAACCCAAATTATAAACTAAAACATAAACTAGTGATAATTAAGAAGTTTAGTTAGTTTAAATAAAATCAATAAAATATTATAATATATACCATAAACTAGTATTAAATGCCAATTTGTTTAATAATCTACCTGTTGAAGCAAATCATGATGTTAGGACAATGTAGGTTCAATAAAATTCATACTAGTCATAAAATAAAAATTCAAATAACGATATAACCAATCATTGCTTAAAAAAAATTGACATAAAACAATAAAATATTAAAATCAAATTCAAAAGGGCTTTGTCAGAATGAATAACAAGCATGACTTGAAGCAACAAAAACAAGCGTGAGCACAAAGCCTATAAAATTAAGTGCAGGCATAAGGTCCATGAAAACAAACATGAGTATGTTGCTTATGAATGATTATTCCTTCATTTCACGTGCGTTGGCCATCGTACAAGGCTAGCGCATCCTAATCACCTTGCTAGCTAGGTGTATCATAGTACATTAAGGGCTAATGAAGCTATTGTTAGCATCTAACATTTTGAACTCAATCCCTCTAAGTAAAATCAAGGGAGCATGTAGTTGAAAAACAATTTCACAATTTTTCATTGTTACAGTATACTATTCAATTATTATCTTTCATTTTCCATATTCATTTTTATTTCCTCCATGCATGAATTATTGTATTAAAAGTTTGTGTATCAAATATAAAGTTAAACAATTCAATTACTTTCGAAAAGGAACACTATTTACCAATAACATTAAGTTATAGGTAAAATCAAGACATTGTAAATAATAAATCAATAATTATAAAATAGAATTGACAAGGATATTTATACATTTAATAAAGGAATAACATTAAAAATTTACATGAATAAGAAATTTTATAAACACTTTACGATAAATTTTTTCATGATGTTACTCATTCACTTAAAAATTTTCAAGAATTTTAAAGCTTGTTTCATTTTAATTTTTTATTTTAATTTTAATAGTGTCATTAATTTCCTAACAAGTAAGTGACAAGCTGAAAATTACTTATTGATTTTTATAAGTGAGTAGATATTTAACATCCAAACCTCCAACAACCAACAAGATTCTCTTTACCCAATAAATTTTCTCTACATCCTTCAATTTCATTTGCTAAGTAATTTTCTCGATCATTTTATAAGGACTAATTTTTTAATTTTAATACTAAGTTTTTCTTTTAAATCATATCTCACAATTTTTCTAGCAATTCTACAGCATTAATAGATAATAATTTTCTAATCAAATCTCCCATGAAGAACTCAAGAACAGTACTCAAGTCCATACTATCATTATTATGCTTTCTGTACAAAAATTTTCAGCTTAATTCATCTCACCCCTCCATATGCGTCCACTGACAGCAGCAGCACGGAAAAAGAAAATTGCAACTTGAATTTTTAAATCGTACACTCACGCACACATGGTCATCAGGAAGAAGAGTTTAAGACTTCTCACCTTAATCATCGGTAATGACAGAGGAGGGAAGGAAAAAGAAAGAGCCGACAGAGCAGGGGAGAGGAAATCCGACGCAAGTCAGCCACAACACTGTTGGAGGAGGAAGGTTCTGGCGTTTTGATGGTCACTAATGGCGGACGGAGTTGTAGGCTGAAGGTTAGAAGGTTCTCGGCACCAAGCTCCTCTTGCTCTCACACAGTCTCGACACGAACCAGGTCGAGAAAGGAAGAAAAAGTTCACAGTCGCCGGCATCAGTCGCAAGGGAGGAAGAAGAAGGCGAAGAAAGAACAGAAACACTACACCAGCGGAAATTACAGAGCAAAGAGGTGAGACCGAACCAGTGATGGAGAATGAAGACGACGCTGGCGGGACGAGGAAGAATGATGGGAAGATGGTCACCGGAGGTACAGTATTGTGAGCTTGCCAAAAAAAAAAAAAAAAAAGTAAAATCGAAGTGGAACGGGGGGAGAGAGAGCGATGGTGAACCAGATTGGGAGAGGGAAGGAGATTTTTCTTCTCCCCCGTTCGCATCCTCATCCCACCTTTGATTAAAACAAACAAACAAACAAAGTACTCAAATTTAATTATTTTACAAACCAATTATTATAATATTATATTAAAAAAATCAGTAAATAATTTTAAATTGTTAAAATTTAATTTGCATATTTTATAACTAGAATAAAATAAATAAAAATTGTAAATTCTAATAGTTTTAAATTTAATTTAGTTTTTATATGGTACTATGATAATTATTTTATAAAATAAATAAATCTGGGTTATTATTTTATTGTTTAAGAATGGAGACAATGATGAGGAGAATAAAGAGAGAAGGGATGAGGAAAGGATTCAGAACCAAAAATTTTCCTTCTTTGGATGCATGTGTTTGACCGACAGAGGAAGGGAAAAAAAAAAAAACTCTGAAAATAAAGAATAATTGAAAAAATTATTTGAAAGGCCTCAAATTTGTTTTATAACATAAAAGATAAGGATATTTTTATAATTTAAAATAAAATAAAATTAAACTTTTCTTAAATAGAATTTAAACTCTAGACTTTCAAGTAAGTAACCAGCACAAATTCAACTAGGTCACCACTTTTCATTTGCCATAAAACTAAAGTATCAATTGGAAGAAAATTTTATTTAATTTAAAATTTAAGGTTATTATATAAATCATATATATACACACACACATACACATGTAGTAAAAAAATTATATAAATAATTTAGTTGATTCAATCTATAAAGTTTTGAAATTTGCTGACTGAATTAAATTGATACAAAATAGACCAAATTTAATTTGATTTGAATTTCCATTTCTATTCAATTTTGCTCACTCCTATTTCTTTCTACACCAAAAAAAAAAATCATTTCCTCAAAACAATTCATATTTTGAGGATATTTTAACTATTAATAAATTTAAAGAAGGGAAAATAGCATCCAAAGACCACTGTAATATTTATATTAGAGAAGAACCAAATGATTTTATATTATCACTGCAATCCTCTAGTCCTTCTTACAT